AAAAATAGACTTAAAACTAGACTTGATAATCTCAACCATTAATTTCATTGTAAGTTTCAATAAATGCTGGGACCCATTACTTATTCAATAGTTGAGATTATCAAGTCTAATTTTTAAATCTAATTTTTAAGTCTATCTAATATTCCTCAAGTCGGAAAGTGCACAAGTTTTTGCTTCCCTAAGTGGAAAGTGTACAGTTTAGCATGCAATAATTTCAATTTCCACTATCCTCCCCATCACTGCTTAGCCAGATGATTCTTATTCACTGTGTTGAATTAAACATCACTCTTGTCACGAATTCTCAAGAATGATCTAATCGAGTCTACTTCAGTGTTTCCGAACGACGATCATAAAAGATGAGTTTTTCGTTACCTATTTAATGATTGTGATTATCAAGTCTAATTTTTAAGTTCATGCAACGTTGCTCGACTCAAAAACATCGTAAGAATGAAATGTTGGCACACTTTATTATCTAATGATTTGTACTCTATTTAGATTCTTCTTAATTGTATTACTTGGAATCCATTACACTATCCACATTTTAAACTTTTTTAACATATAATTGGTGACCGTGTTCGACATATGGTCAAAAGTGTTATAAAATCAAACAATGACAATAAAGTGAAATTAATGAAAAGAACGATAAGAATGCAATCTAAACAATCATACAACATAGAATTTAAGTGGTTTGATAATTTGTCTGCGTCCACGAAGTTGCAGAGATTTCACTATTCTCATAAAAGAATACAGAGAGAGCAGCGGCCATACAGAATCAATCCAAAATCCTAATCACCGAATAACAGTTTATATATGTCCTACGCACAAGGTTACAAAACAGGCCCCAAAAATTTTTCGCTCCATGGACTAAGTCTCAAAAATTTTTCATTAAAAATCACATAACATTATTTCGGGTTGGGTCATCATCTGAATCACACACAAACTAGACTTTACAAAAGGAACCCAACAAAAAGAACCTGTTTCATTGGGTGCATTTTACAGGTTGAGAAAAAGACATTAGAGACTGCTAAGACATTATACACCCTAAGACATATGTATATATTATGAGGAAAATGGAAAACTCAAAGCAAGTTTTCTAATCAATGGGTACCATATTTTGGCTAGTTGGGAAGACGAATGGTCCAGAAAGGTGATTTGGGCTTCTAACTCCAAAGCAATACACGCATAATCAGTTAAATAGTTGTATCTTTTCGGATCATTTGAGACAAAGATGGATGGATCAGCACACCAACTGTTTGAAAAGTATACGCTTCATGCTTGTACAAAACTAGAAGTTACAACTCTATGGACTCGATTTTGTTTGATACCCCGTTATTTTCTCTCCTTTCAAAGTCTTTTTGGACCAGTTAAATCCTTTTCAATATTTGATCCATGCATGCAGTATCAGAGCAGATTACGAGACCAAGAAGAAACAAAACCAAGCTGATTAAATTACTTATTAGAGCCTGCAATAAGAATTGTTTAGCAGATTTTATTGTACTTATATACACCCATTTCATGAGATTGACATGAGATAAAGAGAGTGAGTTAAAGGTTCCATATAGAGTTGTATGTATATCAATCGTTGTCTTGTGGGAAAGACCGAAAGAGCATTGGAAGCCTATGATACTGTAGATCACCAACTAGGTATACTGTTTCTTTAGTTAACGATAAGCTTGTTTTCTGTTCATGGAAGGTAATTAAATATGGTTTGGGTCGTTTTGAGAGATTGCATGCATGGGGGGTTGTACAATGGCATAATCCATAAATTAGCAGGATTTGAATTCGAAAAATATTCGGGTCGGAGATTTGGAGCATCTATACTTCCAACACCAAAATAAAAACACGACAGTATGTTTTCACCAAATAATGACTTGGTTGAAAACTTTTTGTACCCAACCCAAATATTGTGTTTAATTTTCTTATTTTATTGTGTCTTGTAATGAGAGCTATAATTTGAGCCAATTTGTTTGGATGTAATATATCAAATTCTAGGAATATTCGGTGTATGAACATTTGGCGTCTCAAACACATTTAAAAGGTTTCATGTGACAAAATTTGAAGGAGAGCGAGTGATGATCGGCCACAATTATATTTAAAAAAAATGAAATTACTAATTGGAGGTTACCTGTCGTTAATTGTCGATAGAAACAAAATCGTCAAAGACAATGGTTGTAAAAGATATGCAGTAAAGAAGATAAAGGAAAACTCAGCATCTGGAGGCGTAGTTTTAAATTAGTTTTTAAGAGACAATTATTGTTGTAATCAAGACTGTTTATTCGGTCTTTCTATAACAGAAGTTCCATCGATTAAATTAATAAAAGATTTTTTTATTAGTTCATTGTACTTTGTGTTTGTTCATTATTTCTTATCCACGGAATTCCTGGAACATGACATTTAAATCCCTTACAAGTATTCGTTTAAAAACTGTTTATTAATTGAGATATCCCTGACGATCTTAACAAATTTTGGAGCAACACTATTAAATCGCATGCAACTCCAAAACATGCAATATTTACATAATAATTTTCAATATTATAGCTTTTGGGTCTCGAAATTCAGGTCGAGACCCGTAAAATTAGTGAATTCGGATTCGATCCAAATTGTAGTAGGTTAAGGAAGTAGACATTCTCAGCATCTGATGTTGACACGTATTGTGATCCGTGCGGTTGAGAGGAAAGACGTGGAACCAGTTGATCCTCTGCCAGTGCTAATGCAACTTTGCACAACACAACTACAAAGGTCGGTCCCATGAAATTTAGCAGTTATAAAGCTTCTTTCTTAAAAATTGATTGCTGGTCTAAAGAGTGTGCCAAATTTGACTCAAAGACCTCCACCTCCACCTCCACCTCCACCTCCACGGGCAGCAAGAAAACGAAAAAGAAAAGGAAAATAAATGCCTTTAGAGTCAACCTTAGTCCCTCCAGTTATGCTTTGAGTGTCTTTCGTTTCATTTTCTCCCTTTAAATCATAAAATTTAGAAAAGTATGATACAAGAAATCATGATTCAGCCTTGCACATCAATTATTATTTTACGAAATCAAGTTTGATCGACACAAAAAATATTTAGAATGGATCTCAAACTATTTGGATTGACACCACACTTGCTACTAACAATTTGAAATTCATATATCCAATAGGATTACTTAGAATGAATTTAAAAAACTTGGGATTGATTCCAAATTGTTTTATGACCGGTTTACATTTTTGGGTTTTATTAGTGCATAATTCCGATTCAATCTCAAAATTTATCGGGATGGTATTGATTTCACTATCTAAGATTAAGGGTGTTAATCGAAATAAGTTATTTGGACTTTGTTTATATAGGACTCGACTCGAACACAACTCGTATTCTGAATGAGATACGTTTGAACAATTTTTTAAATTCGTTTAAAAAAACTTACTTGACAAGTTTGAGTTTAAACTCGTAAAATTCAGCACAATTAATACGCTTTTCTAAGATTCTCCTAAAAAATCTATGTCAAGATTGACGGATATACAGTTGTGAAGTTGGTTTTAGGAAGTGATTTGATGAATTATCAACCAATTTTGGTGGTGATTGGTTTCTGTTTATGAAATATCAAGTGGGTTGGTCCACTTAGGGGTGCAAAATAAAGGCAAATCAAATGAATATTAAACCAGAATAAATGCACAAGTTAGGATCCTTCCTATATCAGTATGAGAATATTTTCTGGTAAATTTGAGAAAAGGACAGGATGATTACCCAACACGTGTCAGGCTAAAAGTTCAAGAGCCATTATCCAATTAGATTTAGCCCCGTCACCACTCATTTCCCACTATGCTTTCCCCTGTTAGTTAGGACTTAGGAGAACAGAAATATCTTGTGTTCATGGACTCTCAAATGACAATTTTATATGATGTATATTATTTATAAAATATTATATATATTTAATTAATTATGTTTTTTGTCAGAATTTAATTTTTTTTTAAAAAAATATGTATATCTCATAAGCCAATGTTGTGATAATTTATCATTAAATATGAATATCATGTGGTATTTTGTGAGGTGCCCTATAAAGACTGAATGAATATTTTCTCGTTAAGGAGAACTCAAAAAACCTTCAAGGTGGGCAGTGTGAAAAATTAGAACAAATATATTGTTTTTTTTATTTGACTCAACGATTTGGGTGTTTTGGTCAGTTTATGCATATTTCGATTGATATTCTCTTCGATTCGATCAAAAATAGACTATCTACGATGGGATTAAGATATTCAAAAGAAAAAAAAATTCATAATCTGACTCTAAAAAATTATTAAAATTCAAATTTAGATAGTTTGAGTTTATAATTTAACATAAATATATTTTCAAGGATGGCCATTTAGTATAGAATTAGACCGAAAGTAAATTATATTAAGTCTGATTTGTAAGCCAAAATATATTACTCTTTCTAAGATTCAACCTGTGCAATAAATATATGAGTAATACTACACTAATCAAATTTAGAGCTTAAAAGATATGGCAGCTAACATGGACTTCTTTATTTGGTATCATATCATTTGGGCCCCAATAAATACTTCAAATAATGTACTGATATGACATTTAAGCTCTAAATTTAATCTCAAAATTTGATCAACATAGTATTACCGTAAATATATATATCTACTATCACTGTTAACCAAAGGTATTAATTGAATTTAAAACATTTCATTTCAAAAACAATAAACATATATTATGTGGATTGGGTCCCACAACACACTGACATATCCCCCCTCCTCGTCCTCCACTATATAAGCCCACAAACCCCATGCTCTGTCCAGTTGCAAATTGCAAACCACCTTCTTCGTCTTCTTCTTTCTCCTCCGCCTCCTCCTCCTCCTCCTCATCCTCCTCCTCCTCCTCCTCCACAGCCACCACCACCATACTTGGCAAAACCACCCAAATATTACCACCCCTAACGTCAATAAAGATTCATAGCACCAATCTACACTTGACTAGCCTTGTACCAATAAATACCTACACCTCTCTCTCTCTCTCTCTCTCTCTCTCTCACACACACACACACACACACACCATTTCTGAGTTTACTGCAATAGCCTCCAACTTAATATACCCTACTGATGGGTAACTCCGATTACGAATATCCATCAATGAACATCGAGTGCGCACATCGCGTTGCAATTCCACCACCACAACCATTTTTCAAGTCACTGAAAAACTCCCTCAAGGAAACTTTTTTCCCCGATGACCCACTTCGGCAGTTTAAGCACCAGCCACCATCTCGGAAACTAGTACTGGGCCTTCAGTATGTCTTTCCGATCTTTGATTGGGGTGGGCGTTACAGTTTCGAGTTCTTCAAAGCTGACCTCATCGCCGGAATCACCATTGCCAGCCTCGCAATTCCTCAGGGAATTAGTTATGCTAAACTAGCAAACTTGCCACCTATTCTTGGCCTATGTAAGTCCTATATATTTCATGGACAAAGCATTATAGTCCTGTAAATAGCCCTCTTAATTCTTCATACACATGAAGCCGATATGTAATTAGTGAAGTAAATAGGTTTACACCAACCGGAAAAAATACGATACAAATCTAATTAATCTCAACTAAATACGACTTAAACGCAATATATTTTTGACTATATATGATTATAAATGGTCGGATATAGATTGAGAAAATTTTGATATGGCTTGTTAATAAATTTTTGATTTGAACATACAGATTCCAGCTTTATTCCGCCGGTGGTTTACGCGATGATGGGGAGTTCAAGAGATTTGGCGGTGGGTACTGTTGCTGTTGCATCACTTCTCACAGGTTCGATGTTGGGGAAGGAAGTTAATGCCATTGAGAATCCACAGCTTTATCTTCACCTTGCTTTCACGGCGACATTCTTTGCCGGAGTCTTCCAAGCTTCATTGGGCATATTAAGGTTGGTACAAGTTAATAAAACAGACGAAGAAAATGTTTTAATTCTTTTGCAGTGTTTGGTTTGCGTAGTTTGGCAATAGTTAGTTCAAAAGGTACGTCATTTTGGTCTGAATGGGGCCTTGACAAGAAATGGAACATGCATGTTGCTCTCTCTCTCTCTCTCTCTCTCTCTCTCTCAAATGAATAATGGAATGGTAGATTATGTTAAATTTCATATGGTCTTTTTTTATAAGCCAAGTTTGTTGTTGTCTTCTCTGAAAAAATTATTTTGCGCTGTTTATTTCAGGCTAGGGTTTATAGTGGATTTTCTATCACATGCAGCCATAGTAGGTTTCATGGCAGGAGCAGCCACCGTGGTATGCCTTCAACAGCTCAAAGGGCTACTTGGGCTTGACCATTTTACTCATGGAACCGACGTTGTGTCTGTCATACGCTCTGTATTCAGCCAAACCCATAAGGTCTCTCTCTCTCTCTCACTCTCACTCTATATAGATATGCAATATAAACAAGAACTTGCATTTTTTGTTTATGTTTATATTGCATACTTTTCTGGCGTTTGGCCATTGTTCTTATCTGATGTTGATATTCATTGCAGTGGAGATGGGAAAGTGTTCTATTGGGATGCTGTTTCCTTTTCTACCTCCTGCTAGCTAAATACTTTGTAAGTAAATAAATCTACCAAATTTTATATTATGATCTAAACAGCCAAGCTAGTAGGTTAGTCATCCACTGCTTGCCCTCCTAAAGTCGTTACAGCTCTATTGTCAAAAGGTTTAAGAAAATGGGGTAAACTTTTAAATTTAAAAATTCAAGGGAATGGTTGGTCGTTGGCTTCAATAATCACATATATAATTAAGTTGCACCTTTTTCCATTTTTATTCTAACAAGTCTCGTTTTCAACTCTAACCTACTCCCACTCCCAATTTGTTAAAGCAAAAGACTTACAAATTAATTTGAAACTTATACGTTTTAGTCATTTGATTAACAGTGAATTTTAATATTGAGTAAAGGTGATTATCAATTTGATGGTCTAAAACGTTAAATTTCTGAATTAAATACAAATAGTACTATTGATACTTTACATACTCTTTGTCTTAGCTAGTTAAAGAAATGAAAAATAATCAAATACGGAATCACACACATAGTTATCCTTTGGAGAGAAACAAAGAAGGAAACGACAATGGAAGTAAAAACTTCGTAGTGAGAGACAAAATAGAAAATACTATTAGAGAATATCAAACCTGTGCGGGCAAGGGAAAATATATATACAGTGACTAATGAGAATTTTAGTTTTTTAAGACTTGGGTATTATGTCCCGTGCCATATCCTAGTTTCGACTGCAGATGGAATTATGTTAATTTGAGCGTTATTGTATAGAATTGGATTGTAAAAAAAATGTCAATATGTCCCAAACTGCAGAGCAAGGGAAGACCAAAGCTCTTTTGGATTTCAGCAATGGCACCTCTTACGTCTGTTATCTTGGGAAGTCTTCTTGCCTACCTTACTCACGCTGAAAAACATGGTGTCCAAGTGGTGAGCACTCTTATAGTTCCTCATCTCTCTCTCTCTCTCTCTCTCTCTCTCTCTCTCTCTCTCTCTCTCTGCGCTATGTAGCATTGGTCTATCTATGATACAAACATATTATTCTTTTTCATATCATACCATTTTTCTTTCATTATTCAACTTTGTTTTCTTATTTTCATGATCAGTCACTATAAATACATGAACTGATAAAAATCTATTGTTACAAATTATTTTTAATATAATACGAAAAATAATTTGTGTGTACTATCTGAATATACCTCTAAGCATATACAGATGATGGGTGTGCTCATCAAAGCCGTCCAACAGCAATGGATTGGACCACCACTCTCTCTTATCGTTGGTACTAATGGGTACCATGTCACAGTCGTGCATGTTGGATGGTCAAGAGATTACCTTACTTGAATCGGCCGAGTTGATCAGTACGAATCTTCTGTACAAAAAATAAAAAATAAAAAAATCTGCACGAATCTACAGCTGCATTATTGTTGTCCTTTTTCTCATTTTGTGGTTATTGTGCTGGTGTTTTTTGGAGTCTTGTGTTTGTCTTGTAATAAAATTGGTAAGTGGGCCAATCTACCAATCACCTGGGTCATCTAGCCTACTTCAGAGAATTTTTTAAGGTTTAATTATGAGATATTCATAAATATTTTAATTTTGACGGTCAATTGTTTACCAGACTCAAATTAATCGAAATGCATATAAATCGATTTGAACACCTCTAACCATTAAAAAAAAAATTGGAATTTTTGCTATCTATATCTTATATTAATAATTTTAGGTTGATATAATTACATGGTATGTCGGTTTGGTACGATATTGTGCTAAATTTATTTTACTCATATTCAAATAATTTATAATATATGTGAAATTTTTTATTATATCAAGTTTATGTCATGTATAAATTATAATTAAGTAATTTTATATCGGATTAAATTTGTGCCGAATTTGTACCCCATTTAACTCCTAAATCTACTAAAATTTAATAAAAACTCATTAATTCTATTTCGATTCCAATCCTAGTTTGCAAGTGATGTCTAGTAACTTTAACTAATATTCAATGTATGATTGAAAAAGAAAGAATAGAAAAAAAATATATTATAATTGCAGAAGAGCCAAACACGAAAAGTTCTGATTGGTGGGTCTTTTTACTTTTTGCTTTAATGTTTATTGATATTTTTTTTTTTAAAATATTAGAGTACTGATATGGTGTATCATGTGACATTATGTGTACATACAGATAGGGCACTTGAAGAAAGGGCTAAATCCTCCATCAATAATGGATTTAGCTTTTGGGTCAGAATATCTGTCAACGGCCCTCAAAACCGGCATAGTCACGGGTGTCATAGCCCTAGCGGTAAGCCCCCTCCCTTCTTTCTCTCTCTTGCCCTTTTTCTTTGGTCCTTCACCTAAAGTCACTCTTTTCTTTTGTTCATAATGCTTTCTTGTTTTTGTTTGGTGGGTAATTAGCAATGCAGGGGAAGTATCCAATTTTGTTTTTGTTTTTCAAAAAAAATGAAAAAAAAACAAAAACACCAAATAATGCAACACCTTAATTTTTTAATCCAATATTTCATTATTCCAACAATAGGAGAGTAAAGGGTAAGAGCAACTTCAAGGGGTGGCATACCCCATATGTCACCTCAAATTCAAAAATGTTCACTTCAAAGGGGGTGGTATGTGGGTTGAAAAATGACATCAAGGGTCTTAGGGTGACATTTTTGGCAAATTCTGGAGAGAGAAACGGAGAGGTTACAAATGAGTTGATAAATATAGATATGTTAGATGAATATAGATCCAACGATTCATATAGATTGATGAATAAAAATATGAAAATGACATCCCATTTTGGCACTTGTCATTAGAGCAAATTAATAATTCAAGGGTGTCAAAATACTGTTTAAGATTGCAAATATATAATTTGACACCCCAAAATGGCAACTTCTTTTGGAGTTGCTCTTAAGGGGGAATTTTTTTTGGTTGGCGCCCCAAGGGGAGGGGGATTCGAGGTTGGGCAGGGATTTAAATCTCGTGCATTGTATGAATTTCTATTAATATCTTCTACCTAGAAGTATTGGTAATTACATGAATGAAACAATATCATATAGAGTTTAAATTTAGAGTTGGGTTATTTCGACTAAACTTGGGCATTCAATAACAATAAAAATTGAACCAGAAATAAAAATAAAACTAGAAACTAAAAGGGTATACAATTATTCAAGCTATGGAAACCTTAGCACAGGAGAATGTAATTGGCTTTTCCTGTTTGGCTCATGGCTAACTTAAATTATGCATTGATACAGGAAGGAATCGCAGTTGGCCGAAGCTTTGCTATGTTCAGGAATTACCATATTGATGGGAACAAAGAGATGATTGCTTTTGGAATGATGAATATTGCTGGTTCTTGCACTTCCTGTTATCTCACTACAGGTATAAATCTATTTACCAATATCTGAATTTTTGCACAAAATAATCAGTTGTACGACGATAACTAGGAGTTCACCTGATGAGATGACCGAATCTTAATCACTCAATTCTCATCATGTGAATTGTTTTCGACTCGGCTCAAATTTAAACAATAGGAGACTGGGCTAAATTTTGGACTATTTCCTTCCTAGGACTTGTCAAAATTAAGGCAAAATGGGTATTAGGAGAGGATCCAATCCTAAGAGTGCTCTAATATCAAACTGTACCAACAATTATATCCTTTCTGTCAACTGAATTTTCATTATGTGCTAATCTATGGCTGATTGGGACAGGAGGTTTGGTTTAATTTGCTGACTTGTGGCTGAATGAAATGTATTTCAGGACCGTTTTCGCGATCTGCAGTGAACTTCAATGCAGGATGCAAGACAGCAGTTTCTAACATTGTCATGGCACTGGCAATCATGGTCACACTGTTATTCTTAACACCATTGTTCCATTACACTCCTCTTGTGGTATTATCATCCATTATAATCGCCGCCATGCTTGGCCTTATAGACTACCAAGCAGCAATTCATCTATGGCACATCGACAAATTTGACTTCTTAGTATGCATCAGTGCATATATTGGTGTCGTTTTTGGCAGCGTTGAGATTGGCTTGGTCATCGCGGTAAGCACTATTGTTTATCAAAACCCGACACAATAATCTGCAAGCGGTCACTATTATCTAATAAATTGTGCAATGCAGGTAGGGTTATCTTTGCTGAGGGTCCTATTATATGTTGCAAGACCAAGGACACTGGTGCTTGGCAATATACCGGATTCCATGATCTATAGAAGCGTGGATCAATATGAGAATGCAACCCGAGTTCCAGGAATTCTCATACTTGAGATTGATGCTCCCATTTACTTCGCCAATGCAGGCTATTTAAGAGAAAGGTACTACCGAAGACTCGACTAAGTATATCAGAATTATGAGCTTGGCTCAGAATTTTGATATATGTAGTGATGCATTTGCAAATTCAGTGTATATTTTGTGTTTGACTCACCATAAGCACTCGTTTTTAGGATATCGAGATGGATCGATGAGGAGGAAGATAGGGTCAAATCCTACGGAGAAACCAGCCTACAATATGTCATACTTGATATGGGTGGTATGTGAAAGATTTGGGAAATCCAGATAGTTTTATTACAGAAATTCAGTTTTTTTTATGAAGCAGATATGCATAGAGGCAAGGTCAATTCTAATCTGCCAAGCAATCTTTGATTTGCAGCCGTTGGTACCATTGACACAAGTGGGATAAGCATGCTTGAAGAGCTTCACAAGAACATTGACAGAAGAGGGCTCAAGGTACATTTGGTTTTTCTTTTAACACTAGAATCATTCAGACCCTGCGTGACCACATCCTTTTAGACTCATAGCTGTATTGCAAGCCTCATATGCATGCAATCACCCACTAAGCGGTACATCATTTAAACTCGGATCCTATTCAGCTTGAACTTAAACACAGGACTTATAAGTTTATGATTCACAAAACACTAGTCCAACTCTTAATGTGTATTTCTACCTTTGTATGCAGCTTGTACTGGCCAATCCATCAGGGGAGGTGGTGAAGAAGCTCAATAAGGCAAAGTTCATCGAGTCGATTGGCGAGGAATGGATATATCTGACCGTGGGAGAGGCTGTTGGGGCATGCAACTTCATGCTTCACACAGGCAAACCAAAACAACAGAAGGCAGATGAATCAGAGACTTGGAGCAATAATGTCTAAACTTCCATTGAATCATAAAAGGATGCTGTTGACTTAGGATGAAATTGGAAGCTTTTTAATTCCCCAACATTGTGTAATTTGTTGAATATATATATATATATATGTATATATAGCTCACATGTTTGAAAGTATATACTGAAATCCTTGCGGATTCATAATGAAAAAGCCACTGGGTTTCTTTTTGTTGTTGGCTTCATCTATATATGTCATGTGAATTTGTGGGTTGACGGGGCCACGAGTATGTGATTTAATTCGGTGTAAACGAAAAATCTTTCTAGGGTTTGACATATTACAAATGACCGTGAAATAGTGGTGAATTTAAAATGAAAATAGTTTGTTGATATCGTTATTTATATATGTTACTAAATAACGTGTTACTACACCAAAACTGGAACAATGATAATCACTGCTAAGTTGAAAGGACCAACAAAACAAGGCTGCACAAAGACAAAGTTGAAAAAATAAATCAAATATTTTTCGTTTCTTTTCAAAACCAGGGAATGATTATGGAAGGCTGCACAATAATAGTGATCTAGAACAATTAACTGCTGATTATTTAGAGCAAAAAGACCACCGTGCGTTCAAAACCCAAATAAAAGTAAAAAGGTGATTGTAAAGGTAAAATGGCTTGGACTCGAAATTGATTAAAACTAGTGGTGTTTGACCTGGATCAGGCCAACGATCAAGACTCATCGCTTCACCATTAACTCTTTTAATTTTGGGCTGAATTCCATTGGTTATGCTTTTAAAATCCCGTTTTTGTCGTTTTAGAAAAAAAATTAGAAATTAATAATAAATCATAGACGATTCTGAATTCAGTGTCATTAGTTAAGTTAAATTCCAAACGATGCATGCTTTTATGTTAATTAATTAGTTTGCAATTTTTCGTTTTTGGTAATTTCATATAATTAGGTATTTTATCTTTATTATGAGAACGATTAAAGTTTTGGCCACTCCTATACATATTTTCTCATGTAATACAAATTATTCATTGAATAATATACATTTTTCAGACATATTCTCTTGTTACTCTCTATGTAGATTTAGAATATTTGTTCTATATACTTAGAATCATAGGGCTTTTTATATCTCTTTGTTCCACTGTGTCAAATAGTGAGGCCAATAAAGCTGCACAAAAATAATGTGTTAATATGCCCCTGATTTTGGAAAGAAACATTTGAATAATGACCGAGTTGCAACATCAAGGTCTGACCTAAATTGTACAAAGGCGGCCACTTTATGATATTGTGTTGATTCCAGTTTTGAATTATCGCAGACTTGTTTTATGGTACAGTATCACATTATGTTTGTGGATAATTTTTGTTAGCCCCTCGTTATGGAAGGCTGCACAATAATTGTAGGACCATGACTTTGTCTTTACAAACTATGTATTTAATTCATTTATCACCAAAATCCAATGATATGTGGATAATTTTTGTCCAAACATGATACAAGTTTGGTTTTGAGTGAACATAAAATTAGTTTAAGTAGTTTAATGGATAATGTAAAAAATTCATTAATAGCAGATGTTTTGAAGTAATTGTTCAAGAACACAAAATGCCTTCTATCTTCAAACTTGTAACTTGAATTTTTTTTTTTTTTTTTTTGCCATAAGAAAGATATGAAGAGTCATATCAAAGATACTCAAGGGATAGAACAAAGAAAATGGTCAGAACATTACTTTTAATAATATGCAATCTATTCTAGTAGATTTATTCTCATATGCTATATTTTATCATCTTAAAGGCAATTCTATCCCTTTATTTATTTTTATTTTTTTGGGGGTACGTTGGAAAGTCCCATTAATCTGTTTAAATAGATAAAAGAATTAAATTGTAATAAAAAGACTTGGAAAACATGCCCTCTCAATTTACTTAATTATCAAACTTTTGAGTTACTAAATTAGAAAATTCAATCTAATTTTCTTAAATTACCCATGTAGCCAATTTTTACTTGATTAATATTTAAAAAAAAAAAAAACATTGTCCTTTTTCACTTCTTATCTCTACAATTATTCATCTAAAAATTTATCAATCTCATTGAGAAATCAATGGTCCACATATTAAAACTACAACGGAATTTTGGGAAGAGAGCTTTGAAAAAGTTTTTTCTTTTTACTTTATTTTTTCTATTGTTTTTTCTAATATTAAAGTATCTCCAACCCTTACTCTTTTTTAAAATTTAAATTTAAATAAATTTTTTACTCAAATATAAGTGAAAAATTGAGTCTAAATATCCTTAGACTATTTTCAATAAAAACTCAAACTCTTACCCAAAATTTAAGTAAAAAGTTTGATTTGGTAGAGATCTCTCCAATAGAAAAATCTAAATTTAAATTAGGACAAACTCAAATTTAAAAAATGATAAATATGATCATTGAATCTTTAAAAGATGGTGTAATCTCAATTGATGAAAAAGGTAAGGATTTTAAGTCACCCTTGATATGGTTTCTTTCATTTGGTATGAGTATGTATCATTGAAAAAAGTTTTTAAGAGTTTTTTTTATCCCTTTTTAAAAAATAGTACAAAAAAAAGGTAAGACCATTTCCAATAGAGACTCAAACCTTTATCTAAATTTGAAGGAAAAAAAAAGGGTAAAAAATTGATTTGGTATAAACCTCTTAAATGGAGAAATTTAAATTTAAAGGAAGATAAACTCTTTTTTAAACGAAGATAAATTTAAATTTAAAAGAGAATAAATGTAATCATTAGTTATTTAATAAAAGATAGTGTAATCTCACAATGAAAATGGTAAAGATTTGAATCTTCTTTAATTTGAGTTTAAAAAAAATTATTTAATATAAATATTTGAATAAAGTTTTTAAGGTTAATTTCAAATTGCATCCTTAAAGATCGTTTGAATCTCAATTTGTACTCTCAAAAATTTTAATTTACACTTTTAAAGATAAAAATTTGTATTAATACATACCTTAAACTAACGACCGTTAATTTGCTAGCTAAAATGATAAACTACACATAGATCTTCCCACACTTATCACTTAATCATTTGTACCTCTTTCATATTTAGAATATTACTCATACACTTCTTGACATTTATATATGTGTAACACATAACCCTTTTTCGTTAAAAATTGTTAATATAACCGTTAAAAAATATAATTTTATCTTAATATAAAATTATTATTTCATACTATCTTTTATTTTGTTGACTCATTATACTCTAAAGTTTAAAATTAAGCATACCATTTAAATTTTTAATATAATATAAGTATTTATATAATATTTTTCATATTCAATGCAATATATCACTTAAACATAATTTTTTTTTTTTGGTACATACTTAAACATAATTATTAAAATGCCCAATTGGAGAATATTTTTAGTTGTATTTGAATTCTCAAGAGACGTACGTGCAATATTTCAAATGTAAATGTCTAAATGATTAAGTGATAAATATATGGGGATCTAAATATAGTTTATACATTTAATTTTAGATAGAAATTGAGGGCCGTTAACTTCAGGTGTGTATTGATACAAATTTTTATTTTTGAGTGTGTAAATTAAATTTTTTTTATTTTTGAGAATACAAATTAAAATTTTTGATATTTGAGAATAGTAATTAAGATCCAAACGTTTGAAGTGAATTTGTTGAGATTTACCCAAGTTTATTAGAATTTTTTAGCGACGAGTTAAAAAAAAAAAAAAAAAGTAAGGCCGGAGATGCTCACGACACAAATTAAGAAAGTTGGTGGGAGTGAGAGAGAGCGGTGTGAAAAATGTTAGGATGAGTGGGCATATGAATCCAGTCCATCCTGGGCTTCGTCGCTAGCACTTGTATCAAAGAGGGAAGCTTTGTCTTGACCCCTTAGATGATGGGTTCCATCATCGTTCTTCAGTTTCCTGTCCATCAAATACTTATACAACACCTAAATTCTCTTATGTTTCCTTCAGTTTGTTGCAGATCAGCATTGGTGTAAAAATTTGCCCACCTGACAAACGGCGGAGATTTGAGTCTTCGCTTCGATGGCTCCTCCCAAGAAATCCAAGAAAACGAAAAAAGATTCAAAGAAATTTAAGAAAAGCAGAAGCTTTAGTGTAGTTCCTATCGATAACAAAGCTATCGATTCCGATTGGTGGGATACTTTCTGGCACAAGAACTCCCCAGCCCCAGGTTTCTTGATTCGTTAATGCATTCTGTTTTCGGATTTCGTAGAAGAAAGAGATTTACAAATTTGTGGATATCAACCGTATGGGTATTTGTTTGTATAGGATATAAATTCATGTTCTTGGGCTTAATGATTCAATGTCAGTGTGAGGGTTTCATTGTTAATTCGTCTCACTGTAGTTGATTTATTGAGCAAGAACTCGTGAGGGTTTTGTTCCAGTTCTACCATGGTGTTGTGGTTAAGCATTTTTGAAATTTGATCTCCACTTTCTATGTTATTTTGTTCTTTGTTAAGGTAAAATTAACCAGTTGCGACTCTATTTATCTGTCTCTCTGCATGTTGTTCTTTATTAACGAATCCATAAGGGCATTTATTATACAATCATGGCATGATGAAGGATTTTAGTAAACAGTCTGCTTTGGTTTACCATCATGAAAATCAAGTTGGGTTATACATCCAGTTCAAAAAAAAAAAAAAATAGTTGAGTTGCATTTGCTTCTCTCTCTTTTTGTTTCTTTGTTGGAGAAAAATAAAACCCGTAACGGCGGCAGCCCTTGTTCACTTTCAGTGATCAAGAATTTGAGGTCAAGTTCATGATTTCTGATTTCTTGGTTAAGTAGTAGAGTGAAACTTTCTTGTGTGATTTTCTCCCCGTCTATCTGCCTCTTTCTATTTGTGCTTATATGTCTTTGTTGAGAATTACTTCTTTGACTTGGATTTTTGAAGTCTTGTTAAATTTTATTCATTTAAGTCGAACCTGCAGGTTCAACAATACCCTCTGATGAGGCAGAAGGATTCAAATATTTCTTTCGAGTATCAAAGAAGACTTTCGATTACATCTGTTCACTCGTAAGACAAGATCTCGTGTCAAGACCTCCTTCAGGTCTTATCAATATTGAGGGAAGGCTTCTTAGCGTTGAGAAACAAGTTGCTATTGCCTTAAGAAGGTTGGCATCTGGTGAATCCCAAGTCTCAGTGGGAGCGTCCTTTGGAGTTGGCCAGTCTACTGTTTCTCAGGTGACTTGGAGATTCATTGAGGCACTAGAAGAACGTGCAAAGCACCATCTTCAATGGCCTGACACAGCTAGAATGGAGGAAATCAAATCTAGATTTGAAGAATCCTTTGGTTTGCCTAATTGTTGTGGAGCGATTGATGCAACACACATTATAATGACTCTTCCAGCTGTTCAAACTTCTGATGATTGGTGTGACCCAGAGAAAAATTACAGCATGTTCTTACAAGGAATTTTTGACAACGAGATGAGATTTCTTGATATTGTTACTGGTTGGCCTGGGGGCATGTCTATTTCAAAACTTCTGAGGTGTTCAGGGTTTTACAAACTATGTGAGGGTGGAGAACGTTTGAATGGAAATTTAAGAACGTTATCTGATGGATTGGAGATCCGAGAATTTATAGTAGGCGGAACTGGCTATCCTCTTCTCCCCTGGCTCATGACTCCTTGTGAAAGCAATGGCCTTTCAGCTGCAATGTCTGATTTTAATGCAGTGCACGAGGCTGTGAGGTCTGTTGCAGTGAATGGATTTTTACAATTAAAGGGAAGTTGGAGAATCCTTAACAAGGTTATGTGGAGACCCGATAAGCGGAAACTACCCAGTATCATTTTGGTCTGTTGTTTGCTTCACAATATTATTATAGACTGCGGAGACAGTTTGCGTGCAGATGTTGCCTTGTTTGGTCATCACGATTCAGGCTACGTAGAACAATGCTGCAAGCAAGTCGACCAAACTGGGAGAACTATGAGGGAAAATATAACTAAACACTTGCAGCATACAAAATCATCATACTTCCAAAGCTAATACTTCTCGTGCTGGGTAACCTGTTTCCAAATTTAAGAATTCTTCACCCAATGTCATCCAAAGTTTTGCTTTATTGGCTAAATTAATTAAATTGAGAGTATAATTGTAGTGTTTTTTATTTGGGTAGATCCGTTGGACTTTCAAATTATCATGGTTCACTATTCCTGATACTATTTCATTGGTCTAACTAAGTGGAAAATGTTAAGGCCTTTTTGTTGACTATCTTGATATGGTATTGAATTGGATAAAGGGGATGATGTTCCCAACTGATGAGACAATTCTGTGTTTTAAGAGGATTTGGAATGTTGATTATGAATATCTGGTTAGAGTGAATTCATCTTATGGGGTGTTGGGTGGCATTTGAAAATCAGAAATGATTATTTTGGTGGTCATAGCTCGTGTACTAGTTTATTAATTGGTGCTTGCAGGGAAGTTTTATGGAATTGACTGATATCATTTCAGCTTCATCTGCATTAATGGATCAATACATGGATGGATTTGTGGCCTAAACTACCTTGGTGCTTGGGGTGGGGGTGGGGGACAGTCTACATGTCATTTTAACATCCCAGCAAGCCCTAATATCCTGACCCACTCTCTTGTGTTCAACAAACTCAAGATTACATAATTTCAGCTTATCCTTGTTTAGCAAGACTCTGACAATGGTGAAGCATCCTTGTGATAGTGACAGTCAGCCTGCTTTTGTGGAGGCTGATTTTAAGGCCCTTTTGAATTGTTCGATTTACTTTATTTATTTCGTGCAGAGTTGATCTTTTTCTATGAAAACATGATATAATACTGGGGCACTTCCTTATTGAATTTGTAATGTGAGGAAAAGGCTCTTATCATAACAGGTAAGCAAGTTTATGTAATTATATTGCTCCTTCCTTTGATGTCATCTTCTTCTCCATTTTGGCAAGGGTGTCATGTAATAATATCTATGTCATCTTACCTTGACTGCACATTGTTGAGATATGGCAAATACTTGTGGATGTAATACTGACTACTACCGGATACTACTGCATGAAATGTACCATGCTTGTGGTAAATCTCCGTTCTTGCAGTTTTGAGGTTTTAGTTTAAAAGTGAGGACAGGGAGAGAGACCTGTGGGACAAGCACGAGCGAAAATATCATACCTGTGACATTGCAGTATCCAAGCAGAAGAGGAAAGAAAAAGAGGAGGGGTATGAGAGGTGAATGATTTAGTTTGCTGTCCTTTTCATTCTTATTATGTATTGTATTTTTAAATTTTTGGTTTGAATTTGAAATCTAGTCCTGCTGTCATATGGAAGTTTTTACTTATTTTCCCTTGTGTTTGGCAAATGAAAATCTAATACTGCATCGGATTACATGTTATTGAAACAGGCATACTTGTAAGGGTCATGCATCCCACTTTGAGCAAGCAAACCTCTTCATTTCACTCCTTATCTTTGCAGTAACTCAATTGTAGCAGCACATTATCATCAGAACATTTCAGCCATCTGACTCTTCGATAGGTGAGTGCACGGGGGAAGTTATTTCTATGCAGTGTGAAATGAACCAGCATTTAGAAATTTATTTTACCTGAAGTTTGTTGTTTTGTTAATTTATTTTTTTCATTTAAAATTTTACAGGGTTTCGACTCCATAAATTAGGTCTGGTGTTCAATGTTGTCAGGAGTACAATGCAACTGGCACACTTTCAACATCCTAAGGAAAAACTGGCTGCTATCCCTGTTGTTGGAGCTGAGACCTTTATTTTTGTTTTTTTTTATGACATCCTATTGGACCCACTCCAACAGAGTTAATCCCGGATACCTGGAGTAACTACCAACGAGAATTGAACCCGGGACGTCCAAGCTATGATTCACCCTTGAATAATATCCATTTCTTTTCATGGGGGCTTGAGTTGTTTCATATCAGTTTCAGCATTTCTTCATGCTTCAAAGGTCACCCCATCCCCTGTAGCTCTTATCACTGTTTGTTTCAGAAGCTAATATCTCTTTCATTGTTGACACTAGTTGTGTACTCTGTAACGTGGTGTCGTAATTTTTCTCCATAAAATTGTCCAAGTGGTCTGCAGTTTGTCTTGTTAAATATACTTACCATTGGCTCGTTTGAATGATTTACCTCCTTTCATAGAAATATATGTGCTATAAAAACTTTTGTATATAATTCATGCATACATCCACGATTGGCCTGGCGTCTGATGCAACTTGTATTATAAGCTTATGCTGCAACTGAAGAAACATTGATTTGTATTATAAACATTGCTTCGGAGGCAAGGTTGAAGCAGTCTCTATTGCCTATGGGGTCATCGAGCAATTCCAAGCACGGTTCACAAAGTGATAAAGGATTAGATCCTTTAAACTCATCAAATAAATGAGTCAATACAAATCTGACTAAATAAGATACGAACCTGCTAAACATGACACATTATAAAACAACATAAACCCAATAAGACATGGCTCAGTTTAGCCTTAGAACCGGCAGTATATACTGGCATCTAGCGTGCTACAAAATCATGTTAAGAAAGCGGATGAAAGTACCCACAGCTTTGTAATAGTTGCAATGGGAGTTCTATGGCACTCAAGAGGAAGATAACTTCAATGACTAGCATTCTCTTCATACTCTCACTGGCAGCAACATTGTACAGCATACAGCTAAAAGATTAAATTGGGAAAGAATTCTTTACGGACGAAAGAAATGTTGTAGGCGAGTTTGGAATTATTAAGGCCATAATATGAAACAAGATTTCCGAGCACAGTTCCTCTTGACTATATAAGGGCCTGACATGTACAACAGTTTCTTCAGGGAAAAAATGTCTAATCAAAGGAAACTCTTACCTTCAGTCCCCTTTTATTGAAGGCTTGAAGCATGCACAAAAGGGTGCTTTCTTTCTCTTTGGGCTTGTTCTTACCATACCATAGAGATAGTCTCGCAGGAGAGTTCTTTTTTTGGTCTCTGGGATTCTTGTTCTTCCTTCGTTTTCCTTGTCATCGTCGAGTTTGAACAAAACTAACTGCATCTTCTCTACCTCCAACTGCAACCGACCGATCTTTTCAGACATTTTTTGACCCTTTTCTGAAATTCTCCTTTTGGCACTCCTGCTATCTTTTGACTCCAGAGTAGACTCCTCATGAGAGAAGGAACTATCTTCAATATTATTCATCAATTTGCCATTGATATCAAACAACTCCAGGATGGTCTTCTCGGCTTCTTCCAGCTGCCCCTTCAAAGTATCATATTCAACAATAGCTTTGCCCTTTTTGCTTTTTTCAGTAATCTCGAGTTTTCTCTTCAAATCTTGCACAGAGATTTGAAGGTTTGTCAATTTTTGGACATCAGAATTAAGTCTCTCCAAGACTTTCCTCTTGTTTCCTTCCTGATGGGGCTCCACAGATTTCTTAGAGAGCATTAATTTGTCCACACCCAGCTCCTTCTCAACAAGCACATCTGAAGTGTGATATTCACCCTTCTGTTTCTTTACTGCTTCAATCTGATGGTAATCAGCATCTTTCCCAATGGGTGCAGTGACTGCCTTTTTCGCTTGATCGATGCTGCCATCCCAATCAGCTGTCTCCCATAACTCAAGCATCTGATTATCAGCCTCAACATATTCTCTCTTGCTTATCCCATGGGATGAACATTCAGATATCTGATCAAGCATAATGTCTTTTGGTAAGAGTCCATTCTCTGCCTCAGAGATCTCGGATGCCAGCTTAACATTTTCTCTATGCAAGCTGCTTGCAATTTTTAACTCTTCAATCTGTCGCATTGCAACCTCTAGTTCAGTATGCACTTTTAAGTTTTCCTGCTTTTCCAGTTGCTCCATCTCAATAAATACATCCTTGATAGCTTTAACCCTAGTTTGCAAGTCCTGCAAGTCAGAGAGTGCATCTGGCACACTGGCAGCTTGGTGTTCTTCCAGATGGCTTTCAACATGTCGATGAGTTGTCAATTGTGCATCCTGGAAGCAAATAAATAAAAGAAAAAGCCGAGGATCATTAACTTACAATCATTAAGTGCAGCAGTTTCTGGTGGCACAGCAGATGATTAAAAAAACTTGCTCAACAATAAATTTTAACATGAACTGAGACAGACATTAACGTAGTCTCGTAATTTCAGGAGACTAGGAGACAGTTTTACTATTAAAAAATTCTGTTTTCTTCCTTGCATACCCTAGGACGCAAGCGGATATTCAAAACAAAGAAAATAAATCATCCTACCGTGTGAATGAGATGCACCAAATCTTCATTTCTGTATCTCTTAACAGTCTACTCAAAAAGAGAGTTTTTTGTGGATATCTTGACATATAATATACTACTGTTATGAGATGCTCCATTAGGAAAGTTGAAAATTTTAGTAACCATATTTCTAAATAACATGCAGAAGTAAGTGGAACAGTATCAATCCTTTTCATTCCTTCTTTGCCTTTATGGCCGGGCAAAGAGTATTAATTCATTGTCAGTTTAGATCCTCTTCTCGATTTCCACATTTGTCTGACTTCACTTATTTGAAACATCCACCAAGAGATTCCAACTGGAAAAGCTCATGCCACATTTAAAAGATTCTTGTTTCTTATGAAAAAAACGTAAGGTATTAGGCATGCAACCATATAAAGGAGTCAAAAGCATAATGGTTTTATCTCATGACCTTGGAATGCAGGCTTCCTTGAGATAACCAATAGCTCGTGGTGGCCTACAGCCACATTAAAGTTACCATGCTGTCGCAAACATATGGAGTTATGGATAGAGGTTGAAGGAGCTTGGAGGAAAAACATGGAGGACAAAGAAAATGGATAGAATATTTAGTTGCATACTCATATAATGGGTAAATGAGGAAAGAGGTTCCAACTGATATAATAGTGCATGATTGATATCACCAACCGCAAGTAACAATCATTTGAAACTGTCAATATATCGATTGAAGCTTTAACATATTATATTGTTTATGATTCAGACAACTCAAATCAGAATAGCCGAGCAAATATAAATTTAGACAAATGAATATCACCTTTGCTTCCTCATTGTCAGATGTTTGAATCTTGGCGTGTAAAGAGGGCAGTTTCTCCAGGGATGATATACAGTCCCTCAAAGAAATGACAGCTGGGCCATATGCAGCCAACTGAGATTTCAGTCCTTCATTTTCATCTTGCAGAATGCCAAATTTTTCTTTCAGCACTTTCATATCCATATCTTGGGATGTACGTTCATCATTAAGGCTCTCATATGCTTCAGCAAGCTCATTGACCTTCTCTTTAAACAAAGCTTGACAGAGAGTTGAGATCTGCAATTCACTGAAGAATGCTGCAGCCTCTGTCTCCAACATGTCAATCTCATCCTTTCTCTTTTGCAGTTCAGAGCGCAAACTTTCCTCCCGAATCTGAGTTTCTTCATATTCTTCATGCAATCGGTGCAGTTCAATGTCCAATGTCTGACTTTCTTCCCAAAGGCAAATGTTTATCTTATTCAGATGATCATTGTCTTCAGATTGTTTGAGAACCTGCCTTTCTTGGTCATCTCTAATCGTCTTAACCTCATCATATGCCCCCTTCAGGTCATCTAAAATTTTATGCAACTCTGACCTCTCAATCTCTATGACATTGAGCTTCTGTTTTGCTTCCAGAAGTTCCATTTCCTTTTGATATAACAGATTTGTTCCGTTTGCAATCTCACAACTCAAATGATCTCGGACCAAAGTAACAGTTTTCAACTCAGCCTCTGACTTCTGCAATGTCTCTTTCAGGTTCAGATTTTCCATGTTTACATCTTCCAACTTCTTCTCCACCGAGCTTAACTTCTCTCCAAGGGCACCATGAAGTTTGTCTAGATTTTCACCAAGCTCTTTTAATTCTACATTCTTTTCATCCATATAGTTCTTGAAAATTAAAGAGAGGTTGCCCAGAGATACCATTTCACCAAAGATAACACAGTTTTCCTCTTCTAGGGTGTGCTTCTTTTCCTCCAAATGTAATAATTCCTTTGTCAAGGATTGTTTTTCTTCAAGAACTTCTGAATTCTCTTTCAGTAAATTCTGGTAAGCTCCTTGCATATCCAGCAACTTCCCACTGAGAGACTCTATCTCAGTCGTTAGTAAATCCTCTTTGTGATCTCCTTCCCTCACTTTTATTTTCAAGCCTTCATTCATCTCATGGAGTTTGAGGGCCTCACTCTGCAACACCGCAAACTGATCAGTCTTGATCCTGAACTCCAGTTCAATAATTGTTTTGTCCATCTGAAGATGTTCTGCCTCTAACCTTAGCTGCCCAAGCAGCGTAACAAGAACTGACAACTCAACAGCCAGCTGCTGATTTTCTTCCTTGGTTTTACAGAGGCAATCATTCGTATCTCCTATTTTGTTCAGTATGCGCCTCAGAAGTGTTTGGTCTTGTTCAATCTTATCCTCGGATCCCTGGTCTAGAACAATGTTGAGAACCTTCAACAACTGATATATTCCTGTTCTCATAGCATTGGTTTGATCACACAAAGATTTCACCTCCATCTGTTGATCAAGATTCTTTTTCTCTAATTCAGATATCAGTTTTTCTGACGATTTGGATGCCTCTAAGAGTTTTTGACATTCAATCAAGACACTGAAGTTCTTCTCTTCCAGATCTCGTGCACATCTCTGCAAGATGAAAATCTCAATTTGAGAATCCAAAGCTTTATCTAGCTCTTCTTCAAATTCTCTCTTCCTCTGCTGACCTTGTTCTTGTAAAAGATGTATTTGAGATTCCATACCTGCCAATTGCATCTCACTCATATGAGCAAAAGTGGCATTTTCTTGTTTTTCCACATCCAAAGAAACCTGTAGCTCTTCTACTTTGCAGAGCATGGCTTCTCTCTCGTTGTCCATTGCTGAATATTTCTCTTCTAATTCTTTGTATCTTTTCCCCACATCTTCCAATCTTTTCTCAGTAATTTCCAACTGAGAAATCAAAGCATCCTTTTCATTGATCACATCAGCCTTCTGATTAGCAAGCAACTGGCATGAATCTTCTAAGCTCTTTGAGTTTGCCTTGAACCCTTCAAGTCCATCGTGTGCATCAGAAAGGGAATTTTCCAGAACAGTGTTCTTCTCTGAGAGTTTCTCCAAACTATCAGTTGCTACTTGTAACTGAATGATTAGAGTAGCCTTCTCATCAGCAAGAGTAGATCTCTCAGCTAGAAGAGATTGGCATGATTCTTCCAACTCTTTTATTTTCCCTCTAAGCCCATCTAGCTCAGCACTTAAATCGGATAGGGAATTCTCAAGAAAGGAATTCTTCTCAAGAAGCTGTTCCAAGATTTTCAATTTCTCCAAAAGAACCATTTTGTCACTCCTTTCTTTTTGATAGATTTCCTTTAAATTTGAGTTATTATCCTGCAATTCCTTCACTGATGACCCCAAGCACTCTGGGTTCAAGCCTACTGCATCCACCTGGTGCAACATAGCCTCATGTTTTGTGTTCAATTCATTCAGTTTTTCTTTCAGACAATAAATTTCTTGCTGGAGAGCATTTCTCTGGTCCACTCGAAGCTCAACCTCCTCCTCAAGTTTCCCTTCTATTTCCCTCAAGTTAAAGATCTCATTTTGCATATCCTTCATTGACATTGCCGAAGACAAGTTGAGCTCATTGAGACTCTTATTCTCCTCCTTAAACTTGAGGATTTCATCCTGCAAACTTTGATTATGAGTTTCCATGTCCCTTAAAATTTGAGACCTGTTCTGTAGTTCAGAAGTCAGGGATCTTAATTCATCCTTAGCTTGAGAGTACAAAAGCTGCAAAGTTTGGAAAGCAGTTTCAGCCTCCATAAAACGCAAGTGCTCTTCTTGTATGCAAGCCCCAAGTCTTTCCAACTCCTCCTGCTTCTCAGTAAGTTGTTGACTTTGAGTTCCCATCTTCAACACCAAAGTTTCTAACTGGGAGTGGAGAGACCCATTTGATCTCTCCAGCAGCCAACATCGTTCTTCAGCACCCTTTAACTTCGCAACTCCACTATCTATCTCATCATTAAGCCTTTGAGCTTCATCTTGAGCCTTTGTGATTTTAAGCTCTAGACTGGAAATAGTTTCCAAGCACTGGTGGTACTGGAGAGCTGCAGCTTCCTTTTCTTCGGTCAATTTGGCAATAGCTTGCTTCAATGTCTCGATTTCCCTTTCGGCTTTGTCAGCACGCTCACTAAACTTTCTGGCATTTTCTTCAGTTTGCAGTAATCTGCTCTCCAGATGTGAGATCGCCTCCAAAGATTGTTGGTACTGATTGAGAGCAGCATCTTTTTCAGTTTCTACTTTGGCAAGGCCTTGCTTTCTGGACTGAGCATCAATTTCAGCTTTACTCGCTCGCTTATTAAGTTCAGCAGCATCCTCTTTGGCACGAGAGATTATGTTCTCTAGATTAGATATTTTGTCCATGCACTGCTGGTATTGCAGAAGGCTAGCTTCCTTTTCAGCTTCTAATTTTGTGAGGGTATCCTTCAAGGCTTGAATTTCTGCTTCGGCTTTGCTTGCTCGTACACCAAGTTCTCTGGAATCCTCTTGGGCATGAGAGCCTTCTGACTCCAGCTTAGACAATCTCTCCAAACTCTTTTGGTACTGACTTAGGCCAGCTTCCTTCTCGGCTTCTAGCTTGGCAAGGGCTTCCTTTAAGACTAACACTTCCCTCTCAGACTTAACCCCCGGCTCCAATTCAGACATGGCTTGATTCAGGAAATTCTGGTTCTCATTACTTGGCACACTTCGTTCTTTCTCCTCTGCGTCATGAAAGTTGAGGCCCTTTCTCACCTTCCCTTCTCCAAATTTTGCATGGTCGCCGGGCCCAAACAAATCACCAACCTGTTTCAAACCCCTTCTACTTGCCACAGAATCAGACTCTTGTGTCAGTTCCCCATTGTGCTTGATGGTATGGGAATGAGATGAAGAAAGTTCCAAAGCATCCTTTTGGATATCATCAGGGTCAAACAATGCCCTCACAGGGATTGACAACTCAGGTGTACGGGGATCGGTATCAGAAGTAGAACTGGCAGGCGAGTCATCCATAAGTGCCAAGGGTACTTGATTTGGAAAAGCTTCCGCCAGAGTCCGATGGGCCTGGCGAATAACCCCGGTTGCATGATCATATCGTTCAGCCAATGCACGATAGGCTCGATAGAATTCTTCAACCAATTTCATAAGCTCTGGACGTTTCTTGTAGTACATCTCTGCCCTCCTTGCAAAGGAATCTGCATCTTCTTCAATTAGCTTGATCATCGCCTTAACTTTGGCATCCATACCTGGAAACAGAGAAAAAGAAAAAAAGAGGGGAGGGCAGGAAAGAGAGAGAGCATTAGAGATTTATGTAAAAAATCTCAGCCGGAAAGAAGATAGAAGTGGCCAATTGGCAAAAATTTTATATTGCAACTGCACCCATCAACTCAGAACATTATCCAAATCAGTTCGGGTATCCCTCTACACGTGAGGGAAAAGATGACTTCCAGATATCTCTAGCCAACTAAAATGGAGAAATTCTTGGCTTCCGTCATTTCATATGGCCCAACAATTCAACAACCAGAGAAATCTACATACTATATTGGTTTAGTAAGTGTCTTTTTTGGATATTTCACCAACAAAAATTGATCGCATCATTCAGATCAAGAAGCATGGACACCATACATTAGGTGCATCTATTAGAATGAAGTATAAAAGGAAGCCAATGTGTTCCCACACCTATCTAATCAGTGACATACAGACAAGGACATAAAGGATGGTACAAATTTGAAAGTCAGGGTGACATTTGTAAATGTTCTGCTATCAAATTGCTCCATTCTTTGTCACTTCTAAGTGAACTTTTCGACTTTCAGTGTATTTTCTTTGACAGAAACACGATTGCTCTGATTGGTTGTATGTCAATGATAACTAGTGTAGTTTGAAAACATTTCTTGAAGGTGCCAACCATTGTGTTTTGCCCAGATCTTCAGGAGAGAGTATGAAGCAAAGTCTACGAAATGAACCAAGTAAAAGACCAATACCAGTTATTGATGCCATTAGCAGAGAGGTGTTGGGAGGGGTGGACAATGTATTCACCCAAATATTTGCATTATTTGTGCCAACGAGAAAGAATGTAAGAAATTGAGAGATCAGCACATGTCTCAAACACACTTTTATGCAGCAGACGAATATCATCATCATTTTGCTTACATACTGCTCGGAGGAAATAGAAAGGGAATTAAGCGGAGAAGCCAGGAAAAGCTGTAAGAAAGCCATACTTGTAAGATTCTCCTGAAGCCATTTTGAATTTTTGGGGCTTATATGGCTGTCCCACCACCAAGAATACTTCCATCTAGATTCTGCATTTTTCAGTGTTGCCATGATTCTGGTCGTTGCAGCAAACTAATTATAACAATGACACAAAAGCTTAATTTGTAAACCAAGAACGTAAGATCCCAGCAATTGATCCAAGCCAGAACCTAATGAATATAATTTTTAAGACATCCAATTCAATCCTGGTAAACAAACTAGAGCTTTGAATCTCTCGTGGTTTGTACCTGCACAAAAAATTGACAAAAGTAATCAATAATTTACTTTGGGTAATGATATTAACAGTAAAAAGACGGGCAGATTTTTTGGATCATGATCAAAAGATCAGAAATCGCATGAAAACTATCTGACAAGTGGAAACCATGTACAATAGTTCTGTAGAAAGGGTAAATGATACCTTTTGAGAAATATTCAAATTACCTGATCAAAGACACAGCATAATTGAAACAAGTGGCTCAGATTTTCGAAGTTTATTCATTTTATCTTAAAATCAATGCATTCAGACTCTTCATTCAGATTGCCTTAAAATCAAGGAATCCAGACGCTTCAGTGTATCACCTAGTTTTACTTGTTTTAAATCAACAATCCGAAAATTTCCAAGCGATTCAAAGAATCTATATTCAAAGAATCAAAAGAACTAGCTGATCAACCCATAAAGGAAGTCATGAATCAGGCAATCAACCAGTCAAGGAACAAAGAAACATCGTTACATGAAACATATACGTATACCTACATCTATACATACGTGTTTGCATATATGGAGATTTAGAAATACCTAGACGATAAAATTCAATATGAAGAACATGTAAAACTGAAACTTGAAGATCAAAAAACTCAGTGGAAGGAATCAAAACTTGGTTGTAATTTGATTGGCAGCTGTCAGAAAATAACACCTACAGCTGCGTTTGCTTCCCACTCAACCCATTGCTGTTAGATCTCGCTCTCCTCTCTCTCTCTCTCTCTCTATCTCTCTCTGCGTTTATGCTGAGCTGTGGTACTGTATGAGCCTTTGTGGAACTGTCAGAAGATGAAAGAAAATTAAAAAAGAGGGGCAAAACCGAAAAACGACAAAAATCAGGACACTCAGTTACAACTAATCGAATATTTTATATTTCCTTAATAATTAACTTTTTCGAAACTTTTGCTCAAAATTCGATTTTTCTTTTTTAAATGTACATAGTGGGAATCAGATGTTTCACAATATACCGTTACAATAATAAATACGTAAAAATGTTGGTGGCGAAAGGTTCAAATGACAGCATTGCCCTTGGTTAGGATTTCCCCAAAAAACTTCCACCTTTTGTTTTTTGTTTAATTTAATAATTTAAAAAATATACATAGTTGGATACATGTATCCTCCTAGTAAATGCTATGGACAGTCTAAATAGGTGGCGGATAATTTATTTTTTGTGACTTCATGAAAATGACATGTTTGAAGTCAAATAATGTTAAAAAGTATAATTATTGAAGAAAGGACAAGGGGGGTTCTTAGAATTTTGGATTGTTTGGTAGAACACCAGCTGGTGATTTACAAAATTTGATCTTACGTTAGCTTTTGGTGGTTTTGATTGTTGGTTGGCGAGGAAACTAACTGCAAAAGGATTGTTGAGGATAAAAATGTCATTTGATTTGTTTTCCTATAAATACCACAATAAAAAATGTCACATTCTAATAAATTAGCTTAGAGTAATGCTCCGTTTGGTAGAGATTATGGAAAGTAAGAATAATGAAAAATATGGGAGATACACTTTTTATCTATCCTTCAAAGATGAAAAGTAAGAATAATACATTTTCCTTCCTTTGTGTTTGATTGGATGGATGAAAAATAAATATAACTAATTTTTTTTGTACCGGATAAGATTAGGGGTGATGATTGAGTAATGTCGTGTCAGATTTGTGTTGAGTCATAAAATTATGAGTCTTTCATATTTCTTTTTCGCGTGTCAAATCATTTTTAAGTTCGTGTCGAGTTATAATCGAATTCGTGTTATAAAATTTGTATCGAATTCGAGTCGTGTCATCGTGTTGAGTCAAAAATTTTCACCCCTGTTAAAATGAAAAAAATAATTTTTTTTAATTTGAAATTTTTTACTTTATTATTTTATTATTGTTATTTTTATTTCTATTTCTATTTCTATTTATTTTTTATTTTAATTTTTTTAATATATATATATATATATAAATACATTTTTATCATTGTATTTTTATATGAAATTAATGTATACATAATGTATGTATATATCAAAAGATATATAGATAAATAAGATATATCTCAGCACAAATAATTAACTTTCTATCCACTTTCCTTTCGATTTTTTGAGGGATTATTTTAGTAAATTGGAAGGAAAGTTAATTTATCCACTTTTTCATAATTTTTATTTTTTTTCCTTACCAAATATGATGGTTTATTTATCCCTCCAACATTTTATCCTTCCATTTTTCCATCATACCAAATTGTGCATAAGAGAAAGGAGGATTTTATCTCAAAATTATTGTTATTTTTTATCAATTCTTGTTTTTAAATTAGATATTGGTGGCAGGGTTGAATGTCTAACTTGTCATATTTGAAAGGAGTGTAGGGCTATAGTGACAAACTCAACTATCCCAGATCAGTAAATATGGCTAAAATCGAGCATTTTATAGTATACAAGAATCTTGAAGTAATGTCCTAAGGGAATTGTTATGTCTTGTCGCCTCTGACCATTATTTCCAATAGTAAATAAAAATTATGTTCTCTAATATAAAGTGACTGTCAATTACTTCATTCGTTTCTAAATATTTGTCGTTTTACACAATTTTTTTTGTTCTATAATATCTGTCGTTTAGTGAATTTAAATCATAATTAATATTTTTTTCTTTCAAATTTACCCTTAACTTTTCAATGCATTAAGATTAGGTGGAGGTTAAGTGTCTTTCATATTCTTTTCATTTCCAATACGTATTTAAATAAGAGTATTTTAGTCTATTTTTAGTCATATTAGAGTTATTTAATAGTTTCTTTAACTCTTGTGCAAAAACTTTAAATGATAGATATTTAGGAATGGAGTTATTACATTTTAAGTTTGTCTACTAGAAGTGCATTTTGGAAATACCTTTTTTACACTGATGTGTGAGTTTAAAAAAATATTTACTTAGAAAATACTATTAATTTGATAAAAAAAAAAACATATCATTCACCAAATCAAAATAAAAAAAACCTCCATAAAATGAAAATTGATTTAGAAAATAACATCGCACTCCAATTCTTAATAACTTCGAAAAATCGGATGTAACTAAGTTAATATTGAGATCTATATTACTTATAAATGTCAGCATATGTGAAAAAATTTTGATTTCCTATTTCACCATTAATTATTACCATAAAACCAATTATACCCATATATTTTTTTGTTTTTCATACCTACTTGACTTCCAAAATATTAGCTAGATAAATTTTTTCTCTATGACTTGGTAGATAAACTTTATCAAAATATTACCTAAATAAACTTTATCAAAATATTACCAAGATAATTTTATCTCTATGACATGATAGATAAATTTTATCCCTATGACAATACATTATTTCTTTTTCATTCAATTATACAACCTCTTCTAGAATTCTAATACCACATATTGGTTATTTTTAGGTAATACATATACATATATTCTTTTATCTTTCCTACTTATTAGATTTCTAAAATATTTTGAATTCCTTCATATATATATATATATATATATTATATTATACTACTTATAAATATCAGCATGTGTGAACAAATTTTGATTTCCTATTCACCCTAAATATTACCATATAGCCAATTATACCCACATATTTTCCTGGATTTCATATCTACTTGACTTCCAAAATATTAGCTAGATAAACTTTATCTGTATGACTTGGTAGATAAACTTTATCAAAATATTACTTAGATAAACTTTATGAAAATATTAGTTAGATAATTTTATCTCTAAGACTTGATAGAAAAACTTTATCCCTATAACAATACATTCTTTCTTTCACATTCAATTATACAAACTCTATTAGAATTCTAATACCACATATTTATAATTTTTAGGTAATACATATACGTATATTTTTTTGTATTTCCTACTTATTAGATTTCTAAAATATTTTGAATTCCTTCATATTCATATTCATATATTTATATATACTATTTATAAATGTCAGCATGTGTGAAAAAATTTTGATTTCCTATTTTACCCTTAATTATTACCGTAAAACCAAATATACTCAAATATTTTTCTGTCTTTCATATTTACTTGACTTCCAAAATATTAGCTAGATAAATTTATCTCTATGACTTAGTAGATAAACTTTTTCAAAATATTACCTAGATAAATTTTATCAAAATATTAGCTAGATAACTTTATCTCTATGACTTGATAGATAAATTTTATCCCTATGACAATATATTCTTTCTTTTCCATTCAATTATACAAATTCTACTAAAATTCTAATACTACATATTGGTAATTTTTAGGTGATACATATACACATAATTTTTTAGCTTTCCTGCTTATTAGATTTCTAAAATTTTTTGAATTCCTTCATATTCACACACACACACACACACACACACACATATATATATATACTATTTATAAATGTCAGCATGTGTGAAAAACTTTTGATTTCCTATTTTACCCTTAATTATTACCATAAAATCAATTATACATTCTTTCTTTTTCATTCAATTATACAAATTCTACTAGAATTCTAATATCATATATTAGTAATTTTTAGGTGATAAATATACATATATTTTTTTGTCTTTCCTACTTATTAGATTTCTAAAATATTTTGAATTCCTTCATATTCATATTCATATATATAACAATACATTATTTCTTTTTCATTCAATTATATAAACTCTACTAGAATTCAAATACCACATATTGGTAATTTTTAGGTGATACATATACATATATTTTTTTGTCTTTTTACTTATTAGGCTTCTAAAATATTTTGTACCACACGGGATCAAACTTTCCAGCAAAGTTATCGAACAAGTTTTTTCATTCATTCACGTTAGAGTTAAAAGTTGACCTGTTATAGTCATTTATTTGAAGTCCTATGGTCTCATGCTCTTCTATGACAAACTCAATGAAGTCGAAATTAAAGTTTTCAGCATAATTGAGGTTACTTTATCAATTCTTTTATTTTAGTTTATTAATTCCAATATTTACGTTAATTCTTATGTTATATGGTACTTAATTTTTCTTAATTTAATCTCAAATAGCTTTTTAAGATATTGGTGTGACAGGTCAAGTATTCAGCATAATAATTGAGATTAGTTTATTAATTCTTATATTTTAGTTTATTAAATTAGTGTGGCAGGTCGAGTATTCGGCATAATTGAGGTTAGTTTATTAATTCCTATATTTACGTTAAAATTTTTTATATTAGTGTTTCTTTATTTTATTACAACCTCTCGTTAATCCAATTTTTGATTGCTCGTATAGCTAATATTTTGAAAGCTTGTTCAAATGTCAAAAAATATTGACCTAATTATTCTTAATTTTTGAATTGATAGTAAATTCCAACATTTATTGAGACCAACAATCAATCCAATAATAAATAAATTAAATCAAAATAAAACAAGATGCCACATTATGCAGACATTTATTGAGACCAACAATCAATCCAATAATAAATAAATTAAATTCAAATAAAACCTGAAATGGAGAAAAAACAGCTTGAAAGTCAAAAGCATGATCCGTTAATAAAGAAGGTGCCACATAGGAAACTATGCAAAAACTACTTAAGACATGATTTGTTTTTTCTTTTCCTCTTTAATCATTCACACATAAATCTTCTGAAGATTATATTAACAAGTCTAGAAGAACAGTAAATAGAAACGTGAATTGTGAACGACAAAATTCTACACAAAAAATCATAGACAGGGCTTCAAGGATCACAAATGTAATTAACATAAAAATACCTAACATAACATGGCAAGCACCACATAAAAAATTAATTAACAGAATCTAAAAAAAAATTATTACAGTACTAACACTCTAAAAATATTTACGAATTAAAAATGACTAAAATTGTAATTTATAGAGTTCACACAAATAAATTCATTTAATAAAAATCTGTTCATGATCAATGAATAAACAAGAATAGAAAATTAACTTACAATCAAACAATCTCAAACTTATTTGTTAAATTTTGTAAAAGAGCGATTGAAATCGATTCAAATCTTAATACTATATAATCAAATATATTAAACTTAATTTTTTATTGCTCATATTTTATTATAGCATTATAAATAAAAATTGTGTTCCAAAAATTCGTTATTCTAACTATAAGAAAAAATATTTAAAAAAAAATAGTTAAAGTTAGGTACCACATCAAAAAACAAAAACCTTAATGTACTATGTACCATGTTTTTGAGTATTTTTATATGTACTATGTTTTTGAGTATTTTTATTATTTATTGGCTGAAATTTATCAAATTTTGAGATTAAAAGGTTAAGTGTCTTTTTTCATGGTATTTTAATTATTTACTTACCTTTACAAAAAATAATTCAATTTTATTACTCATTAACTTTGTATTTTAAATAAATTTAATAACAAATTAATGAATTAAGTTTCTTTCACCTGCGTCTAGTGTATACTAAAAATATCTGAACATCTTGTATGACCAACATGCAATGTTGTTTTTCATTTCCCTTCCCAAACTCGGTGCCAAACACTCTCTCTCTCTCTCTCTCTCGGATTGGTAATAAACACATGCAATCTTGTTTGTTTAACCCACTCCATAATTTAAACTCTCTCACAGAAAGCAATAAAAAATGGAAGCTGGTGGGCCATCAAGTAGGGAACAGCCCAGTTGGGTAATTATGGGTGGGCCCAATAGGCCCATAACCGCACATGCTGTGAAGCCCACCTCAACTGCCACTTAAGAGTCTCCAATGGCAATGCCATATGCATCATCATTCAGCCATTTAATCATACCACCATTGATGTAGTTATAGCTTTTAAATTTTTAATGGACGGTCAGAAAGAGTCCTTACCTTCATCATTGTGACACCCACAGCACTCTGGTATCAAAGCGGTTTGACTACGGTACCGAATTTTACTTTTCGGTATTGAAGCCAACTCCCAAAGGTAGATAGGTTTTTTTTGAAGAAGCGGAGTCAAAAAATAGCGCAAAAGTGGGTACGATAAGTTTAACAAATTAAAATTCTATTTACTACTTAAATGTTTATTAAATCTAATAGACCAAAAATTTGTAAGTCTAATATATACAAACGATAGTAATAAAAAAAAAGATTAATCATATCTTTTTACAAAAGATATACTAATTAAAATTATTTATAATTGACTCAAATAAATTTTTATACATTAAAATCGTTGCATAACAACTTTATTATTCTTTAAGAAACATGAGGAGATAATTTTAGTACATTACTGAATCGATATTGTAGTCTTAATTGGCAAATAAGTCTACGGTACTTATAAAGATGTGAGTACCATACAAAAAAATGAATCTTACTAGTTTATTTGTAACTATTAACCTTAAAAATGGTAAGCAAAATGAAATAATAAAATGTAATTTTTTTTTATAATTGTTGCGTTTATGGATGAAAAATCAATCTAATATTACAATTAGGAAATTAAATTCTCTATTTATAAAAACAAAATAATGGTTAAGATTGATCAAAATTTCATATGCTTCAATTCAATTGTACAAATTTATACTAATACCATACAACTCAATTAACACACTATCCAATACTAGATAAGCCAATAATTCACACCTGCTTGTCTCTCATGCCCCATTCTTATTTTCTCTCTAGTCACTTTTATTTTAAATTGCTTATGTAAAAAAAAAGTAAAGAAAAAATAAATTAATATTATACGATTAATATTTAATTTTTTGTATTCAAGAGTACATCATCCAGTAGGAGATATTGTTTTGTTGAAGATATGACACCAAAAAATTAGAGGTAGAGTAATGTTATTTGAACTTAAAAATTTAATTTAATTTGTTGACATAATGATGTGCCTTAATAAAAATCATTCGATTAACATCAAGTTCTAATGTTTGATGGAGCCTACAGCCAATCCAAAGGTCACAGTGAATTAGGTTAACAAATTATGTCAGATTTTTAGATCCCAATAGTATTGCTCTTAGAGGTAATGTTACATGAATTTAAAAATTAGACTTGATAATTACAACCATTGAATAGATATTAGGTCTCAACAAGTACTAGGACAATAGTTATAATTATCAAATTTATTTTTTAAGTTTAATTTTTAAATTTATGTAACATTACTCAAAAATTAGTTAGACCATGTGATTAAGTAATGAGTAATGTTAAATGAACTTAAAAAATAGACTTAATAATTTTAACTATTGAATAAATAGTGAGTATCAATAAATGCTAGAACCTACAATAAAATTAATGATTATAATTATTAAATTTATTATTTAAGTCTACATAGGATAATTATTCATATCAAATCAAACAGGGAATTAAAGACCACGGAAACCATCCAAACACACTTTAACCTTTCATTCTCTCTCCTCCATGCCTGTAGCTGCTGAGAATGGAGAAACCTTCAGCTTCGAGGCACGGGAGGCTGGCTTCCATTGAAGACCCAAAGACTCTCTCTGAAGAAGAAGTGAACTCCTTAGTGGAGGCAGCTATGAAAGTGATTGATATCCATGGGAGAGAAGAGGCTGAGAAAATATTTCTGCTGGGTTTGGAGCCTGTTACGACTGTAGCGAAGCCGATAGGAGGTTCAGGGCCAAAAATCTGTGGAAAAAGGGTTCGTCGTGATTGATTTATGTTAGATCATAAGAAGGGGAAGAGTTGAAGATGCTCTTATTATAGTTCTTGGGTGTATGCTATGCAATAAGGTTTGTAGGATTTTGGTGGATGTGATTGTAAATTAGAATCGGTGAAGTAACGTAAGAAGGTCTTGTTTTCTGGTTTCATTGAAGGTTTTGTGTGATATTGTATGTTATATGCAAATATTTGGATTTGTTTTGTTGGTTTCTTTAGCTTAATTTTTATGGAAAAATTAGGCTTGGTAACATGGGTATCACGAGAACGGGTTGACAGATAAATGTGTCAACCCGTTTCAATCATATACAATCTGTTTATTAAATGGATTATATTGTACTCGTAACAATTCAAATTGGCGTGTATTTAATCTTACATCAAAAGTTTACATGAAAGATTTTGATTGTGGATCTCTCACGGGAACACGAGAGGATAAAGGAGAAGAGATTATGATAATCCACATTTAACGTGCGTTGAATTCTACATCGAAAATTTACATAAAAGATCTTGGGTATTTTCCACATCAATTTATGTAGGAAAAATGACTCCAAATGACAACTTCTTTGCTAGTCCTTTTGTGGGAATTTATGTGGTCATTACATGTGGTGAAATTCTTTAGATTTAACAAAAGAGGTAACTCAAATGGTAATATGGATGAGTTATAACTCCAAATGTTTGGAGTTCAAATTTTAGCAATTTGTTGGCTAAATCAGGAGGGATTTATCTCTCATGAATGCCCTAGTCTCCATATAGATGACTTTTCTTTGACCAGACCGTGAAGAAGATTAGTCGAAATACATGTAAGTTGATTTGAATACTTCTAACTGTTGAAAAAAAAAAATCTTTGGACCTATTGACACTTGTGTTAGGTGACATGGTTATGGTATTAAAGTGTGATTATGGCTCCCGAGGGCGCCTGCTTGACAATATAATTCACCGAGTGACACCTAACATGTTATCAAGATGAATTGGGTACGAAGTCATGAGTAATTTGACAGAGTTGAATATTTAGTTTAATATGGTTTTATTAAGTGTGTTTATTTTATAAAGACTTTTAAATTATTTTGAACTCATTTATTATCACTACAATGACATACAATATTTTATATCTATATAAATAAGTAAAGTCATATATATGTTAAATTAGTATATAATGATACACAAAAGTGAATTTATGCACAATCAACCGTCGAGTAATTAATGTGGGTGATAAATGTAATAAATATAAATGTGAGATCAATACAAACAATACACAGATATAGAGTGGTGGGTAAGAATGACGTACTTCACTTTTTAGGTGGCAACGATTACTAAAGGACTTTATTGATAAAATAGTCAAGGAGAGAGAGAAAGAAAGAGCAATAGTACGCTCAAGGTGATGTGAGTGAGATCTCTCAAGGTGAGGTGTGTAAAAAGTGTGTTCCTAATGTGTAGAGGGTTTACAATTTATAGGCATATAGTCTTAGTTAAGGCGATGACATGAAGGGATAGATGACTAATCATTCAGAGAGGATATGTACAATTAATGATAAGTACAATTAAAAATAGTTTTAATCTTGAGGCTATCTCGGTAATTACTGATGATGCATAAATTAGTTTGCACACTACTAGTCAAGTTGTAGTATAAAATGCAGTAAGTAAAAGGAGAGAGAAAATATGATTTATAGTGGTTCAGTCAATACGACCTACGTCCACTTTGAATGGCTAGGTTCGCCGGAATTTTATTATCTCCGGTGTAGAGGGAGAGCACATGATTACAAGCTTTGAGATGAGAGAAGAGAATTATGCTCAAATGAGTCTGATGCTCCCCAAGTGTTGGGAGAGCTTACAATTTATAGTGGCTTGACATAGTAATTGTATGACTAGTCTGATGGTCATAATGGCTTAGGACTGTTTGATAGTAATTAGGTAGCTGATCTGGCAGAGACGGCTTATCATCTTCTCAATGGGCGAGGTGTGATGGTTGGTGTGCTTTCCAAAGGATTTGTTCAAGGATGAGGGAGGTTGACTCTCTCCAGGTTGCTAGGGTGAGGCTCTTGGATGCTCCCTTGGTGGTGAGGATGAGGCTCTTGGATGCTCCCTTGGTGGCGTAGAGGAGGCTCTTGGATGACCTTTACTCCAAAGTAGTAGAGGAGACCCTTGGATGACCCTTACTTCAAGGTGGTAGAGGAGGAGGCTTTTGGATGACCTTGCCTGTTCCTTGCTGATGTAGTAGCTCCTTGAGCCTGATAAGCTTGACCGGGTTGACCACATTGGGTTGAATTTGTTGGATCTTTTGGAGTCGGGCTATAAACTCGGACTGAGTTTATAACACAAGTTGGGCCTTTGGGCTTGGCCCATCATTTGCCCCCCAATTTCTTGTGTGACGGAACTTGGAAATGAGGGCATTCAGGTTGAATTTGAGTTTTCACTGACCGGCATAACTGAAAAAACTTTGGGAGGCCTAAAACTGTGTTTTTAGGCCTTTTTTGAGCATTCAACAACATCACTCACAAATCAAAGGCTATGAGTTTTGTAGGGCTCGTCGAGAGTTTCGATTTGATATATTATAAGCCTCATTTCGAGCAACAGAGCAAAAGTTACGGTCAAAATTTTGAACAGAGAGCTAGGCGAGCGGTTTGGGCTAGCAAGACACTACTTTGAGCGAGAAGCACTGTTTTAGGTGAGCAGTATTGATTTGGGCGAGCAAAAAATTTTTTTTTAAAAATTTCGGGAGGCCAAAGCACCTCTTTCTGGATGATTTTTGGACTTTTTTTGAAAATCTCATTACCTAAGGTAATGAGTTTTGCTCAGCTCGTCGAGAGCTTCGATTTAGTATATAATAAATCCTATTTTGAGCTTCAGATCAAAAATTTCAGTAAAAATTATGTGCAGCGGCCGGGTGCAAGGCTTTCGGCGAGCAGACACCCTCCTCGGCGAGCACATACTATGCTGGGCGAGCAAACATCCTCTTGGGCGAGCCAAAATTTTTATTTTTTATTTATTTTTTTAAAACTTCGAGAGGCCAAAACATCTCTTTCTGGACATTTTTTAGACTTTTTTTGGAAAGCTCATTACTAAAAGTAATGAGTTTTGCTCAGCTCGTCGAGAGTTTCGATTTTGTATATAATAAGCCCCATTTTGAATTATAGACCAAAAATTACGATCAAAATAGCGAGCAGGGAGCCAGGGGCGCGTTGTTGGGCGAAGAGCCAGCTTTTGGGCGAGCAGGCCACCTCCTTGGCGAGCAAGCCACCTCCTGGGCGAGCATACAACCTCTTGGGCAATTTTTTTTTTTTTTTTTAAACTTCAGGAAGCCAAAACATCTCTTTCTGGACTTTTTTTGGAAAGTTCATTACTAATAGTAATGAGTTTTGCTCAGCTCGTCGAGAACTTTGATTTGATATATAATGTGTCTCATTTTGACTTACGTAGCAAAATTTATTGCCAAAATAGCGAGTAGACGCACTGACGTGCGATTTTGGGTGAGCAGACCACCTCCTTGGCGAGCACAAATGGTTGGGCGCCTGCAGGACTACTTCGCTTGTAAGAGCAGAGGGGGCCAGACACCTCTGTAGGCACTGGGCTGCCCATTTAGGCGAGCAGAGGGGGTCAGACGCCTCTCTAGGCACTAGGTTGAGTAGTGCAAGCTACAAGGAAATTTTGAGTGCCACTTTTGGTGATGATTCGAGGAGTTCAAGTAGCCAAAGAGCTTTAGATGCCCCTGTAGGGAGTTTAGTTCTCGCCTATGCAGACAGGGTTGCCCAGGAATTTCTTGGTGAGCCTGGTTCTGGAGCCCGGGGGTAGAGTACGCCAGACACTTTTAGCGGTGATGGTCTAGCTCCTCTCAGTGCACCTTCTCAAAATCAAATTCTTCCATGATATTCTGAGGATTATTTCTGCTTATCACATCCCCCAACGGTTCTATGTCGCCGAACTGAGATGGATGAACCTGCTTATGATGACAAAAATAATGTTATTCCAAATATTAAAATATTTAACATGATTACCTGAAGAGAGAGGCAGGCTACTTGAGCGAGAGTAGGACAGAGTTTGAGGATTGCTCGTGAGAGAGCTACATCTTTTGAGATCGAGTTTTTGGCTACCCATGAGAGAGTTTTTAAGTTTGAGGTATATGTTACTTGCTTGAGAGCAGAGCAAATGCCAAGTTTTTTTTGGTGACTCGTGAGAGAACCAGGAGATAGACTGCTTGTTTGAAAACAGTGTAGAGGTCTAGCTTTTTTGGTGACCCGCGAGAGAGCCGCTAAGCTGGAGATAGGCTACCTGTGTTGAGAACAGTGCAGAGGTAAGCCAAATTTTTTGGCGACCCTCGAGAGAGCCGTTAAGCTGGAGATAGACTACTTGTTTAAGAACAGTGTAGAGGTAGACCAAGCTTTTTGACGACCCTCGAGAGAGCCGCTAAGTTGAAAATAGACTACTTGTTTAAGAATAGTGTAGAGGTAGGCCAAACTTTTTGGCGACCCTCGGGAGAGCCGCTAAGTTGGAGATAAACTACCTGTTTAAAAATAGTGTAGAGGTAGGCAAGTTTTTGGCGATCCATGAGATGAGTCACCTCGCCTGGACCTGTTGATTTCCTCAACATTCATAAATTTTTCAACTTTTGCCAATAGTTCTGGCATGTTCTTTGGTGGACGTTTCATCACAGAGAAAAAGAAGCTCGATGACCGAAGGCCTCCCAAGAAGGCGGTCATGCTGACTTTTTCAGCAGGCTCTTCGACTTGAAAGACCTCCTCATTAAAACGAGTGAGGTAGCTTCGTAGGCTCTCATCTCGATCTTACTTTATGCTGAGCAGGTGGGTGGCAGGCTTCTGGTGACGACGTCCTCCAATAAAGTGCAACACAAAGGACCTGCTCAGCTCAGCAAATGAGCCGACGGAAGCGGGGGTAATCTTTGTGAACCACTGTCGAACGAATTCCTTCAAGGTGGTTGGGAACGCTCTGCACATGATTTCGTTAGGGACATTGTGCAGTTGCATCAAGGTCTTAAAAGTTTCAAGGTAGTCCAATGGATCCTTCGTACCATCAAATGTTTCGACGGATGACATCTTGAATTTTTGAGGGAATGGGTAGTTCGCCACGTCAGGTTTGAAAGGTGTGTCAGTTTGACTTA